TGACTATTAATTGCATTATTTTTGATTTTAGCCCCTCTAGCGAGAAAAAAACTGTTTAAAGTATGACACTTCATTTGAAAACTTATTTTACTAGTAATTTAATGCATGATATAACAAAACATATGAAACGTTTTTGAAATGACAGTACTTATACAGGTAATCGTGTACTTCAATTTTATTCTAAAGAAATATACCAGAAACCAAAAAATAAAGCTGAATTGATTGAGAATAACAAAATAAAATAAGCTCTAAAAAAAATATATATTTTTGTTATTTAGGTAGGTAGGTACCTACCTGTCTTTTGAGGTGCAATTAGCAACTCAAGTTGATTCAATTCTTTATTAAATACTTAAAGTATTGAAGCAATAAATCAAACGTACGTAATATATAAGTTAATTTTAATCACAGTTTAGTTCTAGATCATGCACGGTTCTATCACAATTTATTACTAGATCTATATAAGATTTGGAATATTTGAATGAAATTATTATTTATGTATCCTATAAGACATTCTGTATTATCAATTTAATTTCAAGTCACTTCAACAAGAAAAACAATTGAAATCCTAAAAAAATGGTACTCCTAAATTAATCAAAAAGCAACCCAAAAATATAATACGAGCCCCGTCTCGTTACAAAAATTTTCAATTTAATTTAAAAAATGTTTGAACAGCAAAATGGCGTTGCATGTCATACATCACCAAAAAAGTGTTAAATAGTTTAATGAAAATAATATTCAACTGTTAGAGTGGATGTCAAGCAATAAAAAAGCAGTTGCATGCAGCACCCGCAAGATCAGTTCCAGATTTAAAAGCAAATATTCGAAAAATGTGGGGTAGGTTCACTGCACAAGATTATCAGATTATCAAGAGCTTGTAAATTCAATATCCTAAAGAATTATTGCCGATGTCAAAGCTAAAGGTAATGTGGTGAAATTTACAAAAATCTACGAAAATTGTTCGTTTAAAACATTTTTGATATATAATTATTAGTATTGGTTTGTTATTTCAAATAGATTGTAAACTAATTTAAATTGTTGATAAAAGTCAAACGGGGTGAAGTTGATCGGCAGGGGTGCAGTCGATCATTCCGGTGCTTTCACTAGTTTTTAAGAATTATGGCAACAATGCATTACAAATCAGCTGGTTTGTATTTACGTTCGTGTGGCCAACAGGTGACCATCCATTATACCGGTGGTGCTGGTTAATCGTGAAAGGTGAGTTTTTTTGTGCCGAAATAAAACAACGGGGTGAAGTGGATCACTTTGTTTTCGCTGTATTTTGTGAGGCTGTGAGGTTATATTTAAAACAATTTGTTTTTGGGTGATTTTCTCATGTTAATTTCGTGTGCTAGCATATGAGGGGTGTCGGACAGAGGGGGACGAATCGTATGTTATTATTTGTTTCTTTATTTTTATAGATACCACGTGAAGAAGCTACGACCCCGCGTATTTAGAGAGAGCACTGGATACGCTTTGCAAACCTGTGCTGAATGGGGTTTCCCATTTAAGCCCATTGTTATTCGGCGAATCACGCAGCAATATTTAAATAAACGCGTCATCACTGAAAAGCGATTTACCAAGAATATGCCAGGAGAAGGCTGGTTTAACGGCCTGATGAAGAAACAACCCAGGCTTACAATCAAGCTTGAAGAGAATACAAAGCTAGTGAGAGCCGCTGTAACATACGAGATTACTGAGGAATATTTTCAAAATGTGACGGAAATCATAAGAGATATCCCACCACAAAACGTTGTAAACTACGACGAGATAAACTTAGTTGACGATCCCGGGGCTGTAAAAGTGGTAATGAAGAAAGGAAGCAAACACGCCTACAGGATACTTGACACCACAAAAAGTAGCACAACAGTTATGTTCGCAATAGCTGCTGATGGAACTCGTCTCCCCCTTATACGGTGTACAAAGCTAAACACCTTTATGAAGGATGGAAGGAGGGCGGATTACCAGGAGCAATGTACAACAGGTCTCCAAAGGGATGGTTTGATTCTGAATTGTTTAATGATTGGTTCAGAACCGTAGCACTCCCATATTTTTGAAAATTAGAAGGGACCAAGCTGCTTATTGGAGATAACTTGCAAAGTCACATTACTATCAGTGTTATTCAAGAGTGCGAAAACAACAATATTAAGTTTGTCTTAGTCCTCCCCCTAATAATTCAACCCACATGCTCCAGCCACTGGACGTGGCTTATTTTCGTCCACTTAAAGCATCATGGAAAAGAGTACTGGAGGAATGGAAACTGAAAACAGTATTTCCCAGGATGTTGAAAACCCCGGTAGAGGTGCTTGGGAATCGCGAAATGAATAATATTTTAGCTGGATTTAAAGCATGCGGCCTAGTTCCTTTCAATCCCGATGCTGTTATTGCAAAGGTAAAAAGAAAGGAGCCTACTACACCGGAGGCAGGAAACAAGGGAGAAACTTCAATGACTGTAGTGCTTTTAGATTATCTACACCTGCTCAAGACTGGGCCAGATAATGTCCCAAAGCGAGGAAAGAGACTGAGTATAGCCGCTGGCAAAAGCATAGGCTCAGAAGATTTGGAAGAAGAGAACCAAAGAAGCTGCAAGCAATCCAGAACGCGTAAGAGACAAACAAGCGACAGCGAAGACGAAGAGGGAGCAGATGACTTAGAGACACTGGAGTTGGAGGAACAGAATATCAACATAGACGATTATGAAATTGGAGTGTTTCGCTGCGCCAACCAACACTTTTGATCCATGCGGCAACTGGGATATAGGAGACTTTATCATCACAAAATATGAGACAAACAATTTTATATCGCTAAAATTATTAAAATCTCAGGGACTGAAATAGTTGTAAGCACACTGCGTAAACATCCATTAAACAAATCTGTGTTTTTCACTTTTCCAAATGTTTCGGATGAGTCTGTCATAAGCAGGGAACATATTGTCCGACAACTCAATTTAAAATTAGTAAAGCGAGGCAAATATTTATTTTCCCTTAGAGAAGAAGAACTGAAAACGCTTCAGTAAGGGATTTTTATGCGTTCATTCGTTTCATAAATTTTTATAATTCTGTTTTTTAGTTTTGTTTTTTATCTGTGTTTTTATTTTTAAGTTTAATGCATTTATTTAATGTTTATGTTATTAAGAAATCAATGGCTGTGTAAAGCTCGTCCAAAGAATAAAGGTTTATATTTTTTTAATATGCGTTTTATTGCAAAATTCATCTGCAAATATTTATATTTTTTTATTATTCACTGATCGACTTCATCTGGACGGTCCTGAAGTAAGAAATATGCATTAAAAGGGGTGATCGACTTCACCCCGCACCTTGGGGTGAAGTCGATCGCCCTTTATTTCAAAATAAAAACGATGCTCCATCTATGACCTTGCTCCAGTCACCAGTCGACGACTTAAGCATCAAGGAAGTTATATTTTTAAATTCATTAGATAAAATCTACTTATTCGTTTTTCCGCAATCTCAAAAAAAACGTATTTTTTTGATCGACTTCACCCCGTTTGACGGTACATGATGAAAAATAAAAAAGCTTTTATTAAACTTATGTATGAATTCTTCTCGTTAAGTGTAAGTCATTAAAAATTTAAGATGTATGCCAATTTAAGCGGGATGGGGCCCGTAAGCATTGACTCACTTTCTAAATATTTTAGGTTCTAAGCTATTAACTCCATCAAATCTAAGTATACTATTATTAACCATTAATTTTGGACTACTTTTTGTACTTATGTTAAGTATTGTTCTTCTGATAAGACTGTTTAACCCGAAGAACAGTTATTGATTTCTTAAATCTATTTAGGTATTTATTAAATATATTAGGTATTTCTTAAATATATTTTGGTACTTCGTAGAGTAATATGTACATTTTGAAATAAAATGTGTGCTCCTAAAATTTGAATTTTTGAATCAGAACTTCTTGTAAACATACTTTTATTTAGTAATAAAATGTAAAATATTTGATGAATAAAATATTTAAAAATCACTGATATGACAATTAAAAACATTTTTAAACCGTATTATAGCATTTTAAGACAATCTTTAATTTAACCTTTTAATGCATTACTACTCTATGAAGTAGGTACATTCTATACAAAATAAAAGAAAATAATATAAGTCATAAACGTTTTGATTCAATTAAATGTTTTATCAGTACCGAAGTATGAATATTAGTTAGTTTTGATACCAAATTAATTTGGGGTTGTATAATGAGTTTAGGTAAACGTTTTAAACTTAAACAAAAAAAAATGTTTTAGATCGTTTTTATTACGACAATATTTCATGGTGTTTAAAAACTGTTATTTTTTTTGGAGTAAAATAAAAGTTGGCGGTAATTTACAGATGTAGGTATTAAAAAATATCAATTTGCATTTGATTTTAGTTCGTCACACCCCCTATCGATTCAAAAGTTTTGATGATATTATAATTGGCAATTGGACCTCATTTTTTTATCTAAAGTGATATAGAGAAATAACATATGTTTCTATTTTCTGTATGACTCTTACAAAAATAATAGCGTTTCTGTATGTTAATACAATATATCTCAATTATTGACAATGCACATCATAAGAAATTTGTTAACATCTGGATGCAAAAGGATCTGTATTCTCGAATCGCACGCTCTGCCTGTTTACAGGAATATTAGACACGGTTGATTTGAGAAGAACCAGGCCCAAAAGTTTCTTATTTTGAATATTAACTGAGATACTTTGTATACAGAAGCGCCCGCTTCCTTTCTCTCATTGGCCACTTCCAAAAATATATTCTCTTCCCCTTTCTTCGCCCTTCTTCCGTACAAAAATATTCTGCCCTATTAAAAAAAATATGATTTCTTCTTTGTACTATATTATTGTTAATAGATGTTTTATGCTTTAAAATGTGTGTGTAATGTGTTACTACTCATTTTCAATATTTATAGATGCATTATTAGTAAAAGTAATTTTATATATCGAAATAACAGTTTCTTGGCCTCTCTGCATATATACCACCTTGGAGGTAATACATTTAGCCCGGAAGTGGCGCTTCTGCATAGAAATCGGGTTCTTCATCGTCGCCGTCCGCTTGGTCGCCATCTAGCTGTAAAACAAACGAATACATTAGAATGTTTCTAATATTTACACCATACAAAAATTCAAGAGTTTAATTCGGTTAGTGTCATAAAAAATAAATAAAATTGGTAATAGGTGATGAAACTTGATAGCTAGCTATATAGGAATAATTATATCATGGAAAAATGGCGCCCAAATGTAGTTTTTGGCGTATAACTTTATTTCGTTTAGTTTTAGAAAAAAAGTTCTTAGTATTAATCAAGGAGTCTAGTTTCAAAACGTACAATCTCCTCTAATGTGGGCGCAGCCGTGATTTTTAATTAATTATAGTAACTTAAGAAGAGCCTATATTACGTCCTACAATAAGAAAAATAAAAAAAATACAGATTACTTTAATATTAAAAAAAATATTTTGGAGATTGTACATTTTGAATCTGAGCAGATTGTACGATTTGAAAATGAATTCCGACAAAAAAAATAGGTTTATTAAAGAAACATTAAAAACTTTATTGTTTAAGCTTAAAAGTTGGCAAATTTATTTCAAATTTAAATATGTAAAGCCTAAACTGTCACGTTGAGTCCTTCATCAAAATATTCACAAAGAATTTCTTCGTCTGCTTCATCTTTCGCAGTATGGTTTTTTGCTTCATCTAGAAGGAACTTATAAAAGTCATTATCATTTCTCCTCTTTTGACCATAATGGCTTTTAAGTAAAGCAGTAACGGAAGCAACTTTTTTTCTTTAATCACATTCTGTTTTTTTAATAATATTTGGAACAATATCAACTATCTTCTTGCCCTTTTGTAAATAGATTTATCAGCTCTTATAGGCAGCTTCGCCACGTACCTGGATTCTTTGTCCAACTTCTTTGGTAATTATTATTCTTTTGGAATGTGCAAAAGAAAAATGCCAGCTACTGGTTGGTTTGACTACATTTGCTACAGCTTTTTTCCAATCGAATATCTGGACATCTTCACCAATCTTCAGATTAGTAGAATACAGAGAAATTATTTCATAATATCCATCTGGTTTCTTTATTTCTTCAAATTTTCGTATTTCCTTTTCTATGTTACCGAACACCTTATCCGGAGGTATAAACGAATCTCCTCGAACTGAAAAGATAATCTCTATGCGAGAAACTTTAGCAGCATTTCTGGTTTTGTGATTTATTAGCCAATTGCAACACATACCGACTATATAGTGTCATATTATTATTTTGGCCGCCGAAGTCGTCACACATTAATCGTAAAACTTGAATGTTGGAAAAATGAGTTGTTTCTAAAATATGATAAACACACGACGAAATTTCATTTGAACCTTTAGAGTATTCGTTTTCTGTCCAGCAAAAACTTTTGACTGTTGTTGGATTCAGATCACCTTTAGAGTGCCTTTGCACTACTGTGAAATTGTACAAATACATTTTACGGGAATAATATGCCTCTTGGTCAGGAAGTTTAGGTAAGAGTTGATTTTTTTGACAAACGAATGAAAATATAAAAATATTTTCTGATTTTTCTCGAAGCAACTCAAAATATGCTTTAGCACGTAACTTATGTACCCGTTTCTCTGTCTTTAAATTAGTTTTGGTTTCCAAGCCTTTACAAGACTTGATTTTCTCAGATAGACGTAGACAAGTGGAACAAACATTGGTTCGTGGTGTGCCAAATCCTAGATTGTAGAAGGCATTAAAGATGTGCACGAAATAACTTTGCTTAACTAGAAGATCTTCAATAATATTGGAATACATTTTCCATAGTTTCATAATATTTAAGGTCGAAGCAAGTAAAGTCGTTCAGTACTACAATAATGTGACTCAACAGCTAGGGTTGCCAGGCGTCCCGCTTTTCGCGGGATGTCCCGTTTTCAGCACCCTCAGTCCCGCGTCCCGCCGGTAATCTACGCGGGACGCATATTGTTCCGGTTTTTAATGAACATAAATAAAATGCACCGCGAAACGTGATTTGAACAAATAAAAAAAAAATAATATCATCCATCTCATTATTTCATAATGGTCGAATGGTCCGACGCCCGACAAGAAAAATCGGGGCAATTTGCTATTATCTCTGCGCCAGCTTCGCCTAGCGGTGCGCGGTCGTGGATGATTCATATCACATAACGTTTTTCGGTCTTTCACATGAGTACGACGAGTACGTACATGTTTCTTTCTTGCGTTGGCACATTTTATTTTTCCGAAAATAGTTATCTTGCCAAGTTAAGTATTTTTTCTTTAAAAAATGAAATCAATTTTCAAGATTTGTTACTGGTAATTCAAGACAGTGCACTGAAGAATTCTATCAATGTAGATGATTGTTATGTAGAATTTTGTATTATAAAAAAGGTGCTTAATTCACTTAACGAGAATAAAGAACTTAGCGCGTTAGATAAGTGGACACATATTTTTAAAAATTCTCCGGAATTAAAAAATATGATTTTACTATTTCAATTCATTGCGTCTATACCTACTTCCAATGCCCCTTCAGAGCGTGTATTTTCTCTCTGCGATAATACATGGAACGACAATCGTAACAGACCAGAGATAACAGAAGATGTACCTACTAACAAATATCGTGCGGTCCTGAATAAAACGTATTCTAAGGGACACAGGAGGGTATAATATCCGCTGTTTTCATGTGCCTATTTCATTATTCTCGTTTTGTTTACAAAATTATTGACATATATTAAAAAAGATAAAATAATTCAACCTATTTTATTGCAACTGGACCCAAAAATTTTTAAATCATTAGTTATATCAAATGTAACTAAATTAGATGTAATTTCACTAAATTAGATGTAATAATTTTCAAGTGGCAACAGGGCTTACACTGGAATGGATATTTACGTTGTTTATTATAAGCGCACAGCGTCTTACACATTTATTCATTGATAAAAAAAGTTGTATCTGCGTAAAATTCTTCTCTTTATCCCCTCTCTTACTTCTCAACTTTCGTCTCCTCTCCGCGTCCCTACAAATAGATTGTAATGATTGTCGAATTAATCTTGGCATCGTGAATATTATATTTTATCAATGAATGGTTATATCCCTGTAACAGACTCTTAGTGAATCATGTCAAAGAAGGGCTCCAAATTAAAGTTAAGTATACAGAAAGTTGTACAGAAATTTACCACAAGATAATAAAAAATAAACAACTTTTGCAGGCGGTTAAATCACAGGAAAAATATAATTTTTCAAAAAAAAAGGTAGCGTTATAAATTGCTATTTTATAGTTATATTTTGTTCTGGAAAGTGTTTGTTTTTGTCTGTTTTGTTTTCGGTTTTATTTGTTATTTTTTTTTTATATGAGTTTTACAAGTAAGAAATAATACTTGTATAAAGTTTTGAATATTGATTATTTATGTTTTGCTGTACCTGTACTTGTTTTCTGCGTTCCTATGTTCCTAAGATTGTGATAATGTTTTATTTTTTTTTATATGGGTTTTATGCAATGTACTTATAGAAAATAAAAACATGTTTGTTTTTTTTTCTTTCATTAAGTGTCCCGCTTTTTCTTGTTTTGTCCCGCTTTTTCTTGTTTTGTCCCGCTTTTCTAATGCCTAAATCCCGCCAAATGCAAATTTAGACATGTCAACCCTATCAACAGCTGTCAATGTGTTAATAAATTCCATAACAGAGTGCTTTTTATCGTTATATTTGGTTGTTTTTCTACCCACCCCCTCTGTTTTCCTTAGGGGGCAAAGAAGTCAACAATTTTTTTTGCAATGGTATCTATCTTCGAATAATGCATTTTATTGAATGTTACTTTCTTTGTGGGTTTTAAATGCCTCTCACGTTTGATTGGATTAATACTGCAGAATTTTAAAATAAAATTATCTTGATATTGGTTTTCTTTGTTTTTGTAAAATGTTTTATGGAATACTCGCTGATATCTTTCATTTTTAATAATATACATTTAAATGTACTGATATTATGCCCACAAGTAAGGGTAAATAGGCAATGATTTGGAGCTGTACCTGCAAACAAACAAACAAAAATAGCACCACAATCGACCAACCTGAAAAAACTATTTGTACTTTAAAACCTGTTCTTTTGATCACTTCCAATCATTTGGATTGCTTTGCCTCTTTCAAGCATTTTTTTATCCACTACAGGGGTTACACTAATATCCATTTTTTTAAACTTAAAATAACTTCCAATTCGGACGTGATGCCATGCAGATCAAATTAAACTGTTGTTTGTTTCGTTTTAATAATATAAGAATATACCAAAAACACGTGGTCTTTCCCGGCCCCTCCCTTGGTTGTTTGGAGATTGTACGCTTTGAAATTCACTTGTCAATGGAAATTCTACGTTTTGATACTAAACTCTATATTTGAATGCAAAATAGAATGGAGGTATATTGCACAGTTTGAAACTAAACGGCATTAGAATTGAATTCAGCAGAAAATTTTTCGTCGAAATGATTTTTTATCGCACTTTTTGTTAAAAGTGGAGATTGAACGTTTTGATACTAGACCCCTCAATTATAGGTACAATTTACAGAGTTACTACTATAATATTTTATTGTCAGACCAATAAGTTGCGAGTGTTATCGAGAGTATCGATAATCGCATAAGCTAATGTACGTGTTGTAAACAATTAATTACATTTGACAACATGCTGAATGCATTAATTTATGTGATTATTTAAGACTATAATACATCAACCAATGACAATCACCTTTTATTCCAACACAAGCCAATCAACGCAAACTTTATCTGAAAACACTACATGCTGCAGTGTTTTCACTCATTCCAGATTAGATTTAAAAAGAATTTATAGTCCGTCAGATAGTGACAGGTTTAGGTGCTCCATTTTCACATACTAGCCTCGAAGAGGGTTGAAAAGTACATCGATTTTAAGTAGAATGAAAGGAAATTTACGAGTGGTTGCTGGGGATAACACATGGAAAATTCGATTTTCCCTAACAAAAACGAAAGGTTATTTATCCGTTTTCACTATATGATTAATTAATAGAACTAAGCTTCGGAAAACCAAAGGCTTTAATGTTGCAAGTGGTTAAAGGGTTGAAA